AGAAGCCGAGAAGCCAAGAAGCCAAGAAGCCGAGAAGCCAAGAAGCCAAGAAGCCGAGAAGCCAAGAAGCCAAGAAGCCAAGAAGCCAAGAAGCCAAGAAGCCAAAAGCGAAGAAGCCAAAAGCGAAAAAAATTCCCAAAAAAAAACGAAAAAAAAATCCTAAAATAAATACCCCTCCAATGACAAAATGGGCACGACCCTGTTCGGGGACCTTGCTTAAACGGCGGAGCACCATGACACCCGCTGAACCAGGTCCCAAAGCGGAGCATGGTTGTTTCCCCTCCTTGTAAACAGAGGAGCGGGGTAGAGTCCAGCATCTTCCAAGCATCCGAATTTGGCTGGCAACGGCCTATGCTGGAGAGTATGGGAATGTTGCGTGCAACTGCTTTCAAAGTTCGTTTGAACACCAGGTCCAAAAAGAAAGGCTTGCACTGGCAAACCCTTTTTAAGAAGAAACTCGTCTTCCGCACACATGTTTGTTAAAAGGGTACCCTTCTTGCGATCCCAGTCTGGACATTCCGATCTTTCCCAAACCGAGCCAAGCGGTCAGTCCAACGGGCCGCCCTGTCGACCTGAGGCTCAGCATTTTGCAAATAAGGTAAACGAGGCCCCCGAACAAACTGCAATGACGTCAAAGTGCGCTTTAAGAAACATATTTTAGAGGGACCCCTGGTCCCAGGATATTCCTGATTGGTTTCAACCTTTCGGAAAGGCCAATTTGGCTGGTGAGCCTTGTGCGTACCCAAGTTGCTTCCACTTGCACTGTATCTTCTTTGCTGGGTACAAATAGGCGGTTTTTAAGGGCAAGGGAAAGCCAAACGAACAATCCACCATTTTGGGGTACACCGATTTTGGAGTCGGGCCATTCCCAAAAAAGTTTTCAAAAGAATGGGTCACGCAAAAATTGGGGGGGGGGGGTCCTCTTGGCCGTCTCATGACGGGTCCGATTCCGGTCGTCAGTCCAAGGAACTTAGGACACTCCACGAACGAATCTGACTTATTTTGCAAGGCTCCTCAGCCCCGTGAAAAAGCAAAACAAAACACCACCCTACCAAAAAGAACCTAGACTCAAACTTCAAACTACCCCATAACGATTGGACGTCACCCCAGAAAAAGAGATCAAGTATTCATTGTGCACAAGTAGCCGGAGTGGACATCTGCAAAATAAGATGTAGATTGCAAAAAAATGAGGGCCCTCATGTCAAAAAGGGGCCCAAAAGCTGGTGCTTGAACCTGCGACCAAGCCGAGACCCCAACTGCCCGTGTCAAGCAGGTCGATCGGCGCGGTGTCCTGCAGCGGCAGCGGCTAGTTTTTGCACCCTTGCAGCGAGGCTCTCGAAATTCCGAAAACCCAATGCTCAGTGATGCTATTTCCCGTTATAGAACAAGGGAGCCACCCAACGGCAAAATGGAAGTGTCTGGTTGGGACCAAATTGCAACCGGTTGTCCGTTTTGTAGAAATGGTTTCTCAATTGAGAGCGTGAACAAAGACATGAACTTATTGGAGTCTCTTCAATTCTGCTCATAAATCGCATGTGTTTTGCTACAGCTTTTCACAACCCCTCCCCATTTGGGGCAGACACAAATGAAGCGGGGTCATTTTGATTCCCACCCAAAACTCATCTGAGGGTCGACAGCCATGTTTGAATGCCTATTAAACGGCAAGCTGGCTGTGGGTCAAACCCAATGGTACCATTTTGGGGTATGCTCCACCCATTTTAGTCTATTTTGGTGGGGATTGGGATGTTCACTGGGGGTACGGGATTTTGACCCATGGCCAGCTGAGTCTGGCAACAATGAAGAGGGAGCCAACAGGTAAGCCCTGCCCAACACAGCCCCTCCTTGGAGGACGCCGGCCGCCCGTGCAGTCCAAGACCTCCGACCCCAGATGAAAATGATGCGCCTTGCCTGAAAAATGGCGTGCCTAACCATAAACTCCCTGCCAACATGTTTACCCAACCATAGACTCCCGGGAGGCATTATTTAGGAGCACCACAAACTCGCTTGGTGCATGTGTACCCAACTGTACACCTTGTGGGACACATTTGCCCAACCATAGACTCCCTGGAAGTGTTTACCCAACCATAGGGCAGTATCTACCTGAACAAAAACTCGCTTGGGACATGTTGGCCCAAGCATAAACTCGCTAGGCATGGTTTGCGCAACCATAAACTCTCTCAGGGGCATGTTTACCCAGTCATAAACTTGCAACCGTAAGCTTTCTGGGGACATGTTACATGTTTAGGAAATCATAAACTTCCTAGGAACCATGTTCAGCCAGCAATAAAACTCGCTTGCGGAAAGGCTTTCCGGAAAGGCCCGTTTCGACTCTCGAACTCGACGAAGGGAAGATCAGCCGCTTAGCCCTTTTTGATGTTGCCATGCCTCGTAGGGCAGGAACAAGGGATTGCTGTGGGCTGCCACAAAGCTTTCCATCCAAGTGTACCAAACTCGCGCCAGATCAATTTGCCTGTGTACTTTCTTTGGATTCCGGGGTCCTGTCTGAAAGGGGGCTGTGAAGCTGCTTTAAGGACAGCTGTTTTTAGGGACCATCACAAATATGTGGTAGGGCTTGAAGTTGCAACTGTGTCAAGGATTGCCAGGAAGGGGTTGCCCAAGAGAACAACTGGAGAACGTATCTAGGGCACATCCCCAGGGGCACGTACAGCCTTCGAGCAGCCCTGATGACCCCTTTCTGAAAGCAAAGAAGCCGTGGCAACAGGCCGCCACACCCCCCGTCCCCTACCAGCGTGCCTCCTCCCAGGGCCCAATCCTCATCCTCATCTCGACCCGAGTACCTGAAAACTGGGGCTCGGCCATGGGAAATAAAAGACATGGGCTCTGTAGCTGGCTGGGGCATGAGGTTCTGTTCCGCCCACTTGGCTCCTTTGCTCGTTGACTTGGGGGCAAAAAGAAAAGCTCTGCTCATTCGCTCGTCCCCCAAACACCAAATATCAACTGGCGGGTTCTCGGTCCGAAGGGGCGCGTGACGTCCTCCAGGTGCTCCGCCTCATCGTCCCCGATGACGAAGGCGTCGAAGCCTCGAGCTTGGAGCGAGTGTGACGCAAAGGCGCCAAGCCGCGCTAGCGGTTAGAGATATACTGAAACACCCCACTGACAGGAAACACCCACTTTGAGTTGGAGGTGATGTTTGCGAGACACATCGAGAGACATGTCTGGAACCCTGCCGAAAGCCGGGAAGGTTTCCCTTTGATCGATTGGCTTCCTCCAGTTGAGGGAAAGCCTTCTGGTGGCCCTTCCGCGAGCTCGTTTGGCCCTTCCGCCCTGTTTCACCAGCTTGGAAGGGCGTGAACTTGGCCCATGCAAGTCATCCTCTAGCAAAAATCAATACTTTGAAGCTTTAATGGGGTGGGTGGGCGGGCGGGCGGGCGGGCGGGCGGGTGGGTGGGGTTGGGGTGGTGGGTGGGTGGTGGTGGGTGGTGGTGGGTGGGTGGTCGGGGTGGGGGGTGGTGGGTGGGTGGTCTGGGTGGGGGGTGGCCGGTTTTCTTTCCCCCAGGTCGGCTTTTCTCTCACAAAGGCGGTTGTAACCGAACCAATCAACGTTCTCCGTTCCCCTTTTTCAGGCCCCGAGGGGGCAATATTGTGATGTGTATGTGCAAGAACCTTACATTTGTCGGTTGCCGTCTTTTTTGGCGGAGACGAGTAGAAAGGGTCACAAAAATGCGTTGTTCTGCGAAGCCAGATTGCAACCACAGTTGGGGATACCCCAGTTACATTCCCTGAATCCCTCGTTCCAACTCCCAAACATGAGTTCCAGGTTCAGTTGGGACCGCCTTCTTACAGTATTGGAAACAAAACAAAGTCTCTGTGATGGGCCCAACCCTTCGTTCTCAGAGCAGCTTACCACCTATGTGGAGAATTATTCAAGCCAGTAGTTGTTCCAGTTGACCCATGATCCCTCCTCAGGTTCCTTAGATTCCCTAATTCCTTGGTGAGCAGCCTCTACTGCTTGTTCCCAGGCCGGAAACAACTTGGGAAGAGGCCACTCGCGACTGTTGCCCCTACCTAAGGCCTGAATGCTTATTCGATTTGAGTTTCTTTTTGTAGAACATGTAAGGCCGTTTCAATCGAGCCACTGTGAGCTGCTGCTACAAATTCTGATATCGAACCACAAACGGACAGAAAGAACATACCGGCTGCATCTGCAAAACGCTGTACTGCAACCACGCCTGGTTTTGTTCAGACCAACCAGCGGCAACCAGGCCAACCACTGGGAACACGCACACCGAAAGCAAAGGGGAGTTCCCCGACCTTTGAATGATGCCCTGGATGGACAAAATCCGTTCGCACTTCCTCTTTTGCAACTATGGTTGACACCATTGTTTGTTGGTATTATCAGGAGAATCAGCACTCCAGGGTTTCTCAGGTGGTGCAGGATTTCGTCCATCCACAGTAGGAGAAGGCACCATGTTGTTCTTTTCATGCAAGGCGTAGTCTTGATCTGTGAGAGTCCCCGTGCACAAGTCTGTGCGCGGGAGGCGGCAGCTAGACCTGTACAGGAGCTCCGCAAACTATGGCGTGCCGCTTAGGGCGATATAAATAACAGGCATGCATTGCAGGCGAGGAGCTTTACAACTTGAAACGCATGCCTAGCAATCAGAGTCTGTCATCTTAAATTCGTGCGCTTCACAGTTGTGAAAGCAGATGGCACAATTCCCCCATTTGGGCTTCATCATCCCCGAAAGCGGAAGTGTGCCATCTACTTTCATCCTGGTGCACTATTCGACTAAGTGGGTGTGTGTCAAAATTGGGAGGTCCCCTTGAAACCAAGGTAACAAGAATAATTACCGGCTGAAAAAGCACACACCCTAGTCAGAATTCGTCGTCTCAAATGTTTGACAACGTGGATAGGACAGCTGCGCTTAGAGAAAAGGGGTGCTGGCGCTGGTGGCAAGCCTTCCCCAAACTCTTGTACGCTCTTCTTCATTTGCTTGTCGTAAATGGACCCTAAACCCGAAGGGCGCCAGAAGGAGAAAGACTCACTTGCCCTTTAAGCAGCGGCAGCGGCAGATGTAGCCGAAGCAGCTCACGAAGCAGGCACAGAGCACCACACCGCCGAAGGCCAAGATGGGCCAGCCCCACCACGGCAGGCGGCCCCTAAGGGCGAGCATTTCAACCCCATGTCTACGAAGATGGCACTCCCTTGGGGGCAAAGGAGATGATTCAACCAAAATGAGGGATGCGCGCCATCTACTTTCACCCTCGAAGCCATGGTGTCAACCACCCTTGTTTAACCAACCATCGTCTGATATCCCTTTTCAAAGGGGCACAAGCTAGTTACTTAAACAAATGATGCGCGACCCTGCCTCACTCCGACCCAGCTCTCTTCCACCTTGCGCTGGCAGCATTCCCTCATCGCATCCGTCTGGTTGAAGAGATTGCCCAAGCACTGTGAGTAGCTCATCTCATCGCAATCCAGTTGTTGTGCCTGGAGCTGCCTTGGTTGCAGAAAATTGTCCGCGGTGGCCGTGCTCATCATTACAACTACAGTCGTAAATGCCACACAGAGCGACATGGCGCACTTCATCTTCTGCGAACTATCGGGCAACTATCAATATCCCGAAGCCCAAATGGCTGCGAGAAAGGACCTTGACTGTATCATTATCAAGCTCAGTACCCTGGTCGCTAAGTCGTGTGGAAAGGGCGCCTTCACCCCCATTCACCCTAGACTCAAGCCCAGTCGATCTTTCCAAAAGGGATCGAACCCCAGGCTGAAAGTCCTTCTCGGGGAGGTATCACAATACTGGAACCCTTGCAACCTTTCCAAGGCGCTTCCTGAGTGGATCTGCCAACAAAAGTCCAGACTGCTTCTTGCTGGTGCGATGGGTCATTCCCAGGAATTGGTCCCCTTAAAGGAAACCCCAAGGGATGCTTTTTCTCGGGGTCATTTCATTTCTCATTCCCTGAGCACCAGCAAGGAATCAGAGACTAAGGGACTTCACCGTCCCGCCTGCGTCTGCGTCTGCGGCCCCAACGATCTGCGGCGGCCTCGTGGCTTCGCACGTCAAAGACACCAGCGAATGATTCGACTGGAATTCATCGACGAGTCTTTGAAACCAGGAAGAACTCTCATGGTGCATGGTGGTAACAACTTGGCCAGTCACTTTTGGTGATACCAATGGTCCCATCCAATCCTGACCACTTCACGTACAGAGCTTCTGTGCCCGACTTCGCCGTAAGCGAAACAAGACAACTTGGTCGAGCTGCAAACAGGTTCTAGGGAGCTTGGACCTCGCAAGCTGGTCATTGGAGTCATCCTCATGTCTACTTGCTTTCCTTTCGGTTTCCCTTTCAACAGCCAAAAGCGTGCTTCAGCCACTGTAAGAGGCCTCTACCATCGGGAGCAAAACTGGGCTACGACTTTGTTTCGTCTCAGGCGAGGAGTCCTCAGCCATCCCATCGCCTCCAGAACAAAACAACGAATGTCACCCTGGGAGAACACCCACCGGCACTGGGACACTAATTACCCAATTTCGGCTCATGTCCAAACAATGTATGTGATTCGGATCATTGCACGCGACCGGCTACACCCTAGCCCTAACCACTGCGCATCACAAGCCCAGCAACAGCGCAGCACCGGCGCCAGAACCTGCACTACCCCACACTTGACACCTGGCTACACAACCAAGGCTGGCGGCCAGTGCCACACACCCATCACTAGAAACACAGCCACAAGAGCAGGGCCACCACATAAGCCCACTCACAGCAACGAACCACAGCCAAGACAGCCATGCAGCGGGGAAGCACCTGCGGAGCAAACGACCTTGTCAATCACCCACTCTACACTGAAAAGCTCCGCGGGCCACGCAGTTCACTGCATGGGCGGCCTCGCAAAGAAAAGACACCACAGTACAGCACCCCACTTGCAACGAAACATGCACACGAAGCGCACGAACAGCCGCGGGCCACTTGCTCATTCAGACTACTTTGCGATCCTGCTCAAGAATCATGCGCCACGGCCCAACCAGCCTGAGGCAGACCTGACATATACGCGCTGCCAAGCAGAGCGGGGCATGTGGCGGTGCACACAGGCGCCACCAATCCAGATCCCATCAGACGCGCTTCAGCTCCGAATATGTTGGCCAAGGGCCAGCGCGTCAACAGACGCGACAAGAGACACCTTGGCAAGCAGCACAGCATCCTCCAAACTTGTCAGTGGTTCCCCGAACAAGCGCCCTCAGCGGAAATCCCGATACTGTAAGGGTCTCGATGATTAGAATGGGGTTTTGTTGTACTCCAAAGCCACATTTAGTCATGATAGGAGAAACCTGCTGTGGATGGACGAAATCCTGCACCACCGAAGAAACCCTCGAATGATGATTCCCCCCTGTAAATACCAAACAAAGGTTTCCCATGGTTCCTCATGTGGTGCAGGATTTGTCCATCCACAGTATTAGCAATTATCTACTAATAATTCTTGCCTTCTATGGGTGTGTCTTAAGACAGGGGGGTCAAAACTGGTCACGAGCTCGGGCGCCCCAGCATGCCGGACTCCTCGTCATCCTTCAGCTGGACATGCCTGACAGAGCCATCCATCCGCATCTTCAAATAACCCGGGTGGCAGGTAGTCGACTGCTGTGCAGTTTTTGCTATTTGTGAGCCGGCAATCTATTGGACTTAACAACGCCTCGCACTGTTTGAGCATGCTCAAAGTGTGTGTGTCGCCGCATCCAATGCCGGCGGCGTTCTTCACCGAAGCAAGAAGCGGTCCTGCTAAGGCCCCTCCGCTACATGGAGCTTGACTCAACCAGAGGCAGTATGCGTAGGGAACTCTCGTGGGTTTCGATGGACGGTTGCCTCTCATCTAGTTGCCCTGTGGCCCAGGTAGAAACAGGGAACCCTCTTTGAGATTGACAATGTGTGGGGAACACACCAAAAGGAAGAAGAGGGTGCCACTGAACGACTGGGCTCCCCAAGCACCCCAGGTTTGCCATGAATTGCAAGCCACACACCGTTAAACTGTTCAACCCCGAAGAAGCTCCATCGCCCAACAAAAGCAACTGGTTGGATGGTCTTGGCCCAAAATGTCTGCGAACATGGGTGTCAAACTTTAGGAATTCCCTTGCAAAGGCTGAGGCTTCCTGAGGAAAGGACCCTTCATCACGGGCGGGCTTCCTTCCAAGGCTCAATTCGCATTCATTCTCTTCACCCATTGTTCAAACTTCAGAGACCGCCCATGTTCCAATGTCCGAAACGAAATGCCCCCCGTACAACAAGATTCATGGCATTGTCTCCCGAAGGTCCCGGTCGGACGTCCCAACCAGTGCGTGCTCGCACGCCTGTGCTTGTCCCGCTTCGCGCAGCACTTCCGGAGGAAGAAGAGCATGAGACATGCCTTCGACCAGCCGAAAGTGGGCGTGCCTGTTTTTGATGGTTTGGGGTTGTAAAGGGAACCACCAGGGAACACCCCCCATTTGTTGGGTCCTCCTATTTTGACGCATACCCACATCGGAATATCCCTGAAATTGCATGATAAAACTGGGTTCATGAGAGAGTGACACTCTCAAAATTACTCTCAACAAAATGCTGCTTGCGCGGAGAACAACAACTCTACTGAGACTGCTCAGAGATCCACTGCAGGTCTCACACCTCGTTAGCTTCGCGCGACACATCTTGCTGGTTTATGAAATCAGAAAACGGGCTGGGACCTCGAGAAAACCAACTAACGTCCCTCACTCGTGTCCAAACGCTCATTGAAAAACTTGGGTGTCCGTAGAGTGAAAGTAGACTGCGCCATGCCTTTTCTGTGGGTAAGTAAACCGTGTGACTAAAGCAACCCAAATATTATGTTTGCCAACTAATTTCACCCAGCAACTTTAGCAGGGATCCCTATGTTTCCCCTTTTAAACAACACGCCAGGGCCAATATGATCGTTTCTCAAAATGGTGGTCCCTTTAGTTGGTCTCGAAAGGGAAATCAAAAGGAAGTTAATTATTCTTGGAAACTCTATTTGGAGAACAAAAGGGGGCTGATGATGTTTATTCTCATTAAAATTATAGTTATCATTGAGCTAGCTATTCATAGAGAACACAAATAACAATCCGAGTCCGCCGACAAAACACAAAACCACAAACAAAACATACCCTAAGTCATGCAACATGGATACGTAGGCTCTGAAATGGTGTTGTTCCTTATGTTGGTCTTCTCTTAGATCTTCACACTTTTCAAATGCAAAAACTCCGACACAACCAAAAATAACATTATCTAAATGATAATTGAATGTTCATCAAACTCCTTTGGAAAGGAAATTCTTTACAAAACCAATGCAAACAATCTCAAGGTTTGCAAGAAAAAGACAAAACATGATGTCAGATTTCATGCGGGCAAAGTTCAAGATCTGGAGCCATGTTGAGCTGCTGTGTCTTGTGTTTTGCTTTCTTGGAAAACTCGTGGCTTTTCGCACTCTTTCAAACAAGCAACCTTGGGCACACATTCCAAAGCAATCTGAGCGATTCCCCACCTATCTGCAACTTCTGGGCTTGAAATGGTTTCAGTTCCAAGTTCTCAAAAGCCATGGGTTGCGTTTCATGGACCCTCTTTCGTTGAGGTATCTCCTCCTACCTCCCACCTCCTTGAAACCCCAAACCCACCGGCGGCTGAGGCGCCAGAGCCACCCCGGCCGCCGCCGCCGCCACGAACTGAAAGGGCACCTTTCGCAGCTCCGCCCAGTGGTCCTGCGGGTGCCTCATGAAAGCCCTGATGCCCACATGCCCATTAAACACTTCCATTTGCTTGAGCCCTCTGGGACAAAACAGTCCAGTAGTTTTACATTTGCGCTAACACCAAAAAGGAAAAATCAAGAATATGTTTAAGCAAATGGAAGAACATGAATGCAACCACCAGCACGCAAAATGCCCTCTCTAAATGGCAACCGCAAAAACCCGGCGACTTTCTCCAGCTCTAATCCCATGGCTTGCAATGGCATATCTGGACCGTCTGAAGGAACCCTCAAAGCTCCCGTACAAATATGCGGCATGCCCAATACTTCCTTACCTCTTGTGGAAATGCCCCATGTTATATACAGGGTGGTGTCCGGGATCTTCTCCGATATGATTTCATAGTTAAAGGATGGCTAAGTGTGATCCACAATATGAACATGTTATGTATATTGTTGATATATTCTAGACTTGTGCCAAGGCTTGTAAACTGGCTGGATATTCTGACTGAACCGAATTAACATGGTTTGTCGGCCTGCTCGGATCGACGGGGGCCAGGTGCTTCAGAGGGAGGCGGACGTCTGTAAACGGAGCTGGGCAAACTACTCTACTGGGTGGAAAGAACCTCTCAAACAGTGGTTCTGAACAACATAAACGAGGTTCACAGGTTCCATGTCGGGCTGCCACATATAACTGCGCCTGATTCATTGACCCAAAATAAGGAATAAGGAACCCCAATTGAGGGGCCTTCATCGCGGTCTCGTTTAGACCCCGCGAATCGGGTTCGTGAACCATTGTCCCCATGCCCGCAGAGGGGTGGCTCCAGGCTGCTTGCTCTCGTATCGCTGGTAGAGATTCCGGTCTAAGACGAGCAAACCAGAGATTTGACATTCTGAGGTGCGGGAACATACTCTAGCGATTCCATATACCTATATAGTGGTAGCAAAGGGAGCCACCCTTTGAAAACCAATTGGAAAATGGCTGGTTGCCTACCATACTGGTAACTGGGATCTGGGCTGTGTGTCCAATGGGACCCGTGACTGCTTGCAATAAAGTCCGCGGCTGTTCGGTCCTGGCTCGCGACTGCATCCTGGAGAGCTCTGGGACAATTTGCGACATGTGGAAAAACAATGCCAGCCTCGGCTGTTGGGCCAAGAGTGGTTCTTGACCTACACCACTGCTACCTCCACGTGAGGGACTAAGTAAGTCACAACTGTGGGCAAGAGAGAGGCGAACTGGTGGGGTCGGAAACATCGATCCGCTCAAAAAACGAAGGTCCACTCTCACGAAACACTGAAGTTCACAGACCCCTGTTCAAACGGAAAGTGGGTAGGCCCAAACTGTGGTTGTCCCTTTGTTGTTCCTTTAAACCGCCACAAAAATGGCACCCTCAAACAACACACCCTCAAGTAGATTTGAGGTGGGGTGCACTTGCAAGCTCATTTCCACGCTACTCCTGTGAGCTCCGCTTGGGAATTCCTGCGAAACCACCAATTATATTCCTCTCCCCAAATATGAGACAGTGAGACAAGGCAGCACTCGGGAGGTCTGAAGGCGGCTGTTTGGGTGAAATGCCAGTTGCCGCTTCTTGGGCAAGAGACACCGCCATGTCCAGGTAGCTGGTTTTCTTTTGGTTTCCCTTGACCACCATCTCAAAAGGGTCCCCATATTTTGAGACAGACCCACTTCAAAGTTAATGGGGTAATTCTTGGTTACCTCGTGTAGTGGCAACCATAGGGGGACTTGGGTAAGTCTACAGAAACATGTCTGGTTGTTTTGGGCAGGCATCATGATCCCCAGTCTTTGCAAGGTGCTGCAATGATTCGATCTCTGCATACGTTGCCAAAGCACAAGCTGTCCGAGCCATCCAACACATTCCAAGACTAAAATTGGCGGCAACACTACAAGCGCATTTGGATACAATGAAAGTGAGAATTGTAGCAAATCGCGCTCTTGTCTGTGCCGCCTATCCACCACAACGACGACGACGACGACGACAACGACAACGACAACGACAACGACAACGACCACGACCACGACGACGACGACGACGACAACGACAACGACAACGACAACGGCAATCACATGAATGGGCAGTCACAAGTATTCAATGACTCCGAACAAATCCGTTCAATTCCTGAACTCCTACATGTACAAGCAAGCAGATATTTCATATTGGTGCTGACGTGAATGCTTGAATCAATGGACCACTAAGCCAGTCGTTCTGATGCCACCCTTCCCTCCCCAAAGGCGCGTGGCTCCTGCGGCTTCTGCCTCGGAGATGTGCTTGGAGGCTGAGACCCAGAGGAACGAAGCAGTGGACCTTTACCAAAAACGCTCCTCGCCTTGCAGGTCATAAAAAGCTGAAAGGAGGGGTGCATTCAAAACCTCCTAGAAAGGTTTTGTTGGGGAATGACCCCCAACCCAAACCTGATGGACTCGTGGAGCTCTCAACAACCATGCATTTGTGCAATTAAAAGGTAGTCTTGAACGGACAACCCTGATTGAGCGGAGAGGTTATAGCAAAAGATATGATCGGCGTCTGCTGGTTCTTGCTGATCTTCGTCCAGCCGCTTGCGGTGCTTCTGGTCGTAAATACGCCTCACGTTGCTCCATGAGTGATTGCTCGGGCATACTGCTTTGGTCCTTCAACTGCACGCAGGGCTGCTTGGTCACGACGCCTCGCAGCATCTCAAATGAGCCCCCCACCATCATAGCATGCCACTGGATGCTCTGGGCTTGGCAGAACTCTTGCAATTTGTCTCGCATATCTCATTTAAGTGCCACACTGCGTTGGGCCGGGTCACTGATGTGGGCCCTACGCCGTGGGGAGATATGATTGATGTGACAGGAAGCCACCCCCAATTCAACTGCGGAAGCAGGTTCCGCAGGTGCAAATCTTTCGCTTGTGGGAAAAGGGTTTCTCCAAATGGTCATGGACCTCGAAGGGCGAACAGAGGAGGGGGGGCACTTGGCCTTCAGGAATAGCCTCCATGAACTCGAGGCAACCAACAAAATAGATGGTGCCCATCTGCTTTCCTTCTCAACAAATGAAACAGGGTATCCTCAAAAACGACCAACCCGTATGCACCAGGTGACACTAAAAGCTAGAACCTTCATTGGAAAAGCCAAATTCTGTCTCTCGGTGGCATGAACACTTCCTCAACAAAACGCCCAAGTTGAGTGTGCAACCGTGCTTGTGGAAATCACCCGTTCTATGATACCGCTACCACAATGGGAGTAGTTTATCACTTTCAAGGGGGGTCTCGTATCACGGAAACTGGCCCTAAAACCCGATGTTTTGCAAGCATGCACTCACTGGTCACTAGCATTTCTTTGGCCAATTGATTGGCCCCAGCGTGCATTCGGATCACTTGGGCCCCCGGCACTTGATTCCGCGGGTTCGCGCCGACCCTCGGAGGTTTGGCGAAACCCCAGTGCCGGAGGCGAAACCCGCCGAACAAATGCCACGGGCATTGTTTGGCCCAGCGATTTTTGGAAATGCGGCTCCTTAGCTCCCTGTTTTGAACAGGGATGGTGAGTTTTCCCGGCTCCCTGACTCCCCCAATATCCATGGCCAGATAAAGAAAGTGGGAGCGGGCTCATGATTCTTGACACCCTCTCTTGCACCCGTTTGAAAAACCTAAAGAGAATTTATTGAGGGTTACACTCATACAGGGTGTCCAACTTCATGTTCAATTTCCTGAGTCATGGCAAGGCCCTCCTGCTTTGCGACAGAATTCCAATCGGAGACTTGCCCAAATGCGGCAGTATCGAGGGGACCACTATGGCCAAAAACTAGTCACAAAAGTTTCTGCTAGCCTGAAGCACATGGCATGGGAAGACTAGGAAGTCCCCTGCGCTTTGCGCAAAACTTCGAGAGTCTCCCATTGTCCCTCCCAAACAGGGCCACAGACTACTGGATATTTTGACAGGCCTGATGTGACCAAAGCTGGCTGCCCTTCATCCCGAGTACAGTGATCTTTCCTATTCTGTTCACAGTGAGGATGGGCTGCCGAGTCTTGGCAGAGTGGGTGTAGGGTCATTCTGTGGCTTTTGCAGAAGTCCCTCGATCCCGCGCGGGCATTGACTCAAAGGATTGAATGATTTCCTTGTCTGCACGACGAAAACACAACGGCTACTGCATAGTCTCGCGTCACGCCCCCTGTCAGCTACACATCTGGGATGCCTCTTATGTGGGATGTTCGCTTGATGAATCATCCATCCACCAATTGCTGCTCTTTCTGGGGGGTAAAGGAAAAAAACGCACAAAAGGGGGTGCAACTGCAAACCCTTCCCCTTCCCTCACCCCTCGCCCCCCTCCCCCCCACCCAAAAGAAAGCAAAAGAAAGCAAAAGAAAACAAGAGACAAGATTCCTCTGCCTCCTAAAGTTCAGGCGAGCACTCCGCCGCTACAAACGCCACTTTGAGAGGTCAAAACCACACTTGAGTGACTTCTGGTCAAGTTCCTGGAAGGTTCAACTCTCCAAGTCAGCTTTGGAATCTTGGCTTCTCAGTTCCTTGAAAGGACCCCTACTTTTCCGTTGCTTGATTGTAACACAAGGCCCATCCCAGACAAATCGCCTCGCTCCCTTTCTCCGGGCCTTGCGGGGGAAAGAAAAGAAAAACGCTCACACATCACCTTACCCCTTGGTGGATTGACTTGGTTTGGGAAATCTTGAACCCCTGGGTCCTCTTGAAACCACACGGCAGGGTACCTCCCTCACCTCGAAAGCACCAATCTAAGCCACCGATTTGAGGGATACTCAACCGGCCACACCGCAGCCCGAGAGCCCGGCTGCGCACTCACCTCGGTGCCGGTCCAACATCCCGGCCCAAGAAAAAATCCGCCGACAACAGGCGGCGTGTTGGACATAAGAAATGCTCCTTACCTCTTTACCTGTTACCCCTCCCCTAAAAAATGGTAAAAGTAGGGGGCCTGGGGGGTGGCCTGTTGATGGTTGCCTGTTCTGGTTTTTATGTTAATCTCAAATCTGTGTTCCCCCTTATTCGTTTTGAAAAGAGGGTTTTTAGGGAGCTTATTTATGGTTTTCGTTAAGGTAATCATTTGGGTAATTGCCCCCCTTGTTCATTGTTGGGCTAGGGGCAAACATTTTTTTCATTTGAAGGAGTTAGCCCTTTTAGTAGTTATAATGTTCTGGGGTGTTGGTGGTGTATTTGTTTCTTCCCCATAAAAGGGTTTCACGTCGGCACCGCACCGGCTTCGCGGACTTCGTCTTCACCCTTGTTTTTTTTTTTGCCGGGATGCTCAGACAACGTTTGTCGCTCTGCTTGGAATAGGTTGCGTGGTCAGATTACCTGATGTACATTCTCATTGCCAGTTACTTGATGAACACGTTACCTCTGACAGCATTTTGGCTTTCATCAGTGTTTGTTGTGTGTCCTCACCGCTTTTGTGATGTCTCCTAGAAAGCAGAGCGGTGGCTACATGAAACAGACGGTTCAGCAGGACCAAGCGGATGAGCAGACGGTTCAACCACCTCAAGCGGATGAGCAGACGGTTCAACCAGACCAAGCGGATGAGCCGACGGTTCAGCAGGACCAAGCGGATGAGCAGGACCAAGCGGATGAGCAGACGGTTCAGCAGGACCAAGCGGATGAGCAGACGGTTCAGCAGGACCAAGCGGATGAGCAGGCGGTTCAGGAGGAGGAGGACGCCGAAGTCGTCATGTTGGCTCAGTTGCTTTCCATGCAGATGGACATCAGCGGAAGTAGCAACGACACCTTGGGGACAATTCACACACGTGTCATGAAGCAGATGCTTCACTTGACACAGTTGAAGGACGGCATCGAGGGAGAACAGAAGAAGAGGGCAAAGATGGTGAAGGACGAGTTGAAGAAGGAGGAACAGAGGTTGGAGCAACTGCAGAAGAAGAGGTCGTTGAATGAGAAGAAGTCAGGCCTCATTTCGGTAAAGGTGCTTCTCCCTGACAAGACCACCTACATCACCATCAAAATCCGCAAGGGCAAAACCCGTGGCAGTCTCCGACGCCGTGCCATCAAACAGGCACAATCCCTTGGTTTCTTCAAGAACATTGACCTCAAGGGCAAGAGCAAGAAGAAGAACCCGACGGTGAAGTCGGTGTCGGATGTCATGCTTCTGGACATTAAAAGTGCCATCTTCACTCGCAATCTCAAGAAGGCGCGTGGTTATCTCTACAACTCGGGCGCATTCTTGGAGATGCCCATTCTGTTCATCTTGATGGACAGTGACTACGTGGAGGGCTTGACCATTTCTTTCCCTGACCCAAGCACGGCAGACCCCAATGAGGCGGTTGTGGATGACCAAGACGAAGATGAGGAGTCAGAGGATGACACGGATGATGAGGATGATGACTGAGTTCTCTCTTCACTTTTGTATAGGTGTCTTTGGTGGCGGTAGGCATTAAACCCTTTCCAGACATATGCTGTTGTTTCAAAATTCCACAGCCGTGTTGTGAGAGTTTGCCATGTCACCAGAATGGATGTCTCTGTCAGTAAGAACGTCTGACACTTGGACAGACCTTGCAATCTATCCGCCTTGTGGTTGAAAATATGCATCAACCAGTGAGCAACGATGAAGTGACAAATCACCTTGTGACCTTGTGACCTTGTGTTGTTTCTTGCGTAACATCAAGGTTTGTATGATAGTAGTGCCTACGGACAGCCTCTTGCTATGTTGTCCAAAATGAACACCGCTACGCAGACTAAGCGACCCCACTGGACTCAGCTCATGAAGGCAGAGAACCAAGCAATGCGGGACTTCTTGACGGAAAAGGGCTTTGCCGTGAAGCAGGTTGACAACACGGTTGCCTTTGTCATCGTTCCCTCCAGTGAACAGAACCAAGCAGATGACCCAAATGAGCCCTCCGAACCTTCTGAACCTTCTGAACAAGGCAGTGGTGATGAAGGGGAAAAGGGTGCTGTTCACATCATGGTTGAGGTGGAGTGTCTGAATGAGTTTCACCTTTTCACCATCTTCACCGAGACGATGAAGGTGCTGGACTTGAAGTTTGTACTTCATGGATGGTTTGGCATTCCATGGTTTCGAATGGAGTTGCATCACTGGACAGACATCCTTGATGATGAGGACATTCTCCTTAGCTACATGCCAGAGGAGGACAATGAGGGCGTGTTCACTCAGGTGCAGTTGATTGTGAATGAGGACGGTGGTATGACGGACAGTATGGAGGTGGTGCTGGTGGAGCAGTTCGGGGAAAGACGTCGCCACACCTTGGAGATGGCCAAGCTGTTGCCCTTTCAGACCATCATGTCCTTCCTCGGTTACTTCATGTCAGGTCAGTTGGACATCGACCCCAGCGACCTGACGCTCTTCTGCCACAGCGAGGACACGTTGGAGGACTACTCCGACAAGATGGTGGTGAACGTTCACATCAGGGGACAGGGCGGTGTCTTCAACCCAGTGAAGAAGACCTACTTGAAGCGAGAGCCAGCCATTGCAAAGTTGAAGGAGGACACACAGAAGCAGTTTGACATTGACCCAGAGGCGGACACACCTGACGCAGACTTGCCAGTTGAGTTCGTCCAGTTTCTGGATAAGGAGCGGGAGAAGTTGAACAACATGATGGAACTGAAGATGCGGATGGGCTCGTCTTTCTTCAAGGCTGGCATCAAACACGTTAGTTTGGACACCCTGTTCGCTATCCAGTGCATCTTTACCTCAAACAGGCAGAAGAAAGGCGTGAAGCACATGACCATCGTTGAAAAGATGGAGAAATCCTTGAGGTTGCTATATCCTCAACTCAACACCATCGAGAGGTGCAATGCGAAATTGGCGACCTTTCAGGCGCAGTTGATGAAAGACCTTGCTGGCATGTTTTGCGAGGAGAACTACAACTACAGTGAGCAGAACGGCAAGGCAAACATTGACCCGACCAACTTCATCAACCATGTGAAGTCAGAGGTGGAGCGTCGTAGTGAGGGGCAGTCTGTGGTGGATGATGTCACTGTGGGAGCGAACTGTTTGCTTCAGTGATGAAACATGTACAGATGTCCATTTCAGAAACCATCCAAACAAATGCCATGAAGGATAAAAAGGGCGTTCCCAAGTTTCAGGGAACAAGGGTCAGGTGTTCCCCAATCTCGGGGAGTTTGTTCCCCAACCTCGGGGAACAAGGGTCAGGTGTTCCCCAATCTCGGGGAGTTTGTTCCCCAAGACAAGGGAACAGGGGAAAACCGTGCCCCAAAGTAAGGGAACAGGAAACTGACCCTCCTTAATCCACCTTTTCCCACCACTTTTGCAATTGTCCCCGCATCCACTCACGCTGCTGAGGTTGAGAAGTCAAGGACGTCGTTGTCTTCAAGACTGACCCCTTCCAGGTTTGACAGTCACAGGGTTTTTAGAGAGTGGGGCTTCTTTATTCACCTCTAAATCAAGAAACAAGGAAAACTCTAGCCAATTTGTCAATTCAATGTTTGAGCCCAAGCCCAATTTTCAAGGTTTCTTCCCTTCGACCCTTCAACACCACTTTCCACAAACCCACTAAAAGCAAGGGCATAATCCACCAGTTCCCAAATTCACCCAAACCCCAAAATCTGAAAATCCATTTCAAGCTCATCACCAACGACCCCAATTTCAAGTTTCAAGTTCAACCCCAACCCCAACCAGCACCAATCCTGTTTGTCAGAAGGCACCTCCCTCGACGACAACAAGGTATCGGGCGGGTGACGGGTGGGTCGGGCGTTTCCTATACACCCTAAACCCTAATCCCTAAACCCTAAAATTAAACTCTGTAGCGAGGTGCCATGCAGTTGCGAGTCGCCGGTAACACTTTGCAGTTGCGAATCGCCGGTAACATTTTGTGAGGTTTAAATGTGTGGCGAGTGCTTGAAAGCGTTACCTATACACCCTAAACTAAACCGTTGTGTAAGGTTAAACTCTCGCCGATTTTTTGTTTCAATGTTTTAGACCAACCCCAATTTCAAGGGAGCTCTTCGCAAACCCTTAAATCCCAACAATCCCTAACCACCAAAATAAGGGCATAATCCCCCATTTTCAACTCCTCCAAAACCAACAAATACATAAACTTTAATGTTTTCAGTTTCAACCTCATCCCCAAACCCACATTTCCAGTTTCAAACCCAATCCCAAACCCGACCAACCGAACCTGTCCCTGAAAATAATTCTAATAATTTCATATTATTAGAACTATTTAGATAATTATTGAAAATAATTCTTCGCAAACCGTCCTCAAATGATATGTCCCCAAACACCCCTTTTGGGGACGTATCATTTTACCTAATGCTGTAATGCCCATATGGTAATGAAGTGAAAGCATCAATATAAAACCTTTTATTTTCATAATTACTCAGACTTTGCTTGACTTGAGACATTGAATATATTTGATGTGACTTACTCCTAATAAAATTATATGTGATTTCGTGCTTTTTGTTTTGATATAATGCTTCGTGGTAGTTCTGATACGACAGTTCTTTTTTCACTTTGTGTTTCACTACACCTTTTGATTTCTTATGTTCATCAACCTCACCATGAATTGTGAAGGCATAAGATTTAGGTTTCAATCCGATGAATTTAGTAATGATTTTTCCATTTACTTCGTCCTTAAACATTCCTAAGACCTTTTTATTAGTTTTGTCATGACATGGATGCTCAACAGGATAGTCGCTAAAATCCATGTGTTGCTTTATATCATTGAAATCCTTATAGACATCATCAGTCATTGTTTGAATTACATAACTGTCAGTATCAGTATAAACCAGTTTGATGTTTTCATTATACTTCTTTTTCAATACATCATAGTAAAACTGATACATATGTAATTTGCTTAA